CAATTAGTTTTAATGTTTCTTGTTACGTTCTAACTAAAATAATAAATAACCTTTATCAATTTTCTATATCACCCAAGGTTCTAAAATTACATAAAAATATAATATCCACACATGTGTGTCTTAAAGGATATCGCTAAGAGTATTTTTGTATGGATGCGTCAGTCCTAAGAATAAACGGTTGGTTGTATCTTGGGTGGTGTACTCTTACAGCTGTGGAAAAAGCTACTTTCAAATTTTTGAAAGCCGTTTCTTGCTCAGTTCCCCATTTCCACCGGACGTTTTTCTTAAGTAATGCTATCAAAGGAATTTCTTTTGTGCTTATGTCTGGTACTAGTTTTTTGAAATAGTTTACCATTCCTAAGAAACCTCGCAAAGTTTTTAAATTGGTTGGTCGAGGGTAATTATTGATGACTTGAATTCGATCTTCTGCAAGGCTAATTCCTTTTGTGTCTAATTTGAAACCCAAATACAGTACTTGTTTTTGGAAAAACTGACACTTTTGGATATTTTAATCCCTCTTGATCTAGTTTTTCGTGAACCGTATTAATATGTCGTAAATGACTTGCTATATCCGGTGAGAAAATTAATAGGTTATCTATGTAATGTACAACAAATTCTCCACGCCTATGTAAAATCGTGTTAATGCGCGAACCAAAGCAGCGCATGCACTCTGTAGTCCAAATGATACGACCCTAAATCGGTACACAACTCCATCAATAGAAAACGCTGTATAATTTTGACAACTTTCTACCAATGGTATTAGCCAAAAACTGTGTTTCAAGTCGATTTTGGAAAAAATGTGTGATCCTGTAAGTCGTCCAAATATGGCTTCGATGTTTAAAGGCGCTTCGTATTGAGCAACTGTGTGTGAGTTAATGTTTCTTGCATCTAAACATAATCGCAAATCACCTCTTGATTTTTTAACGCATACTATTGGGTTGACATATGGAGAGTCAGATCTTTCTATCACCTTGTCTTTGATCATTTTCTCAATTTCCTGTCCGACGCTTTGCATGTATTTATAAGGGATTGGGTATGTTTTTGATTTAAAATTTCCAAGTTTTTGACTTTAAACGAATGTTCATAATTTATCGCAACTCGGCTTTCTTTATTGATAAGATCTTCATAATTATCTAAAATTTTCTTTATTCCCTTTTCCATGTTTTCTCCACATATTATTTTTCTTTCATCCTCGTTTTGTTCACATGTGTTTACGGTCCATAGTATTTCTGCACAAAATTCTGGATTTTCGTCCATATTGGCCATCTCTTCCTGTCCTCCTCCTTTAGTTCTTCTTCTGTTTCTTTTCTATTTTCAATTTCCATTTGGTATTCCGAGCACAACGTTTCTACTCTTTTCATTTCTCTTATAATAACTTCTCTTTCTTCCGGTTTCTTTTCTATTTTGTTGTCGTTTGCCGACAATTCTTCTGTACCTTTTATTTTCTAATCCTCTCTTGTCTCAACCTTTTTTTTCTTTCTTTTCTTTTCCTCTTCTGATTGATTTATTACCTGCGTTTTCAGTTTGTTCTCTAGTGTCGTATTGATTTCTTTATGGTTTCCCTGTTCATTTGTCCTTTCAACAATTTTCGTCATATCTGTTTCTTGTCCCTCTTTTTTGTGGTCTGGTTCTGCTCTGATTTCCAATTTATTTTCAGAAAAATTAGTCGTGGTGTGTTTTTCGCTCAACTCATCTATTCCCGCTATTATATCATGATTTAAATCGTCGATCACCACATATGGCATAATATAGAAATTTTCTCCCACTCTGATCCGTACTCCCAAACCTTCGTTTACTGTCGTCAATTTTTTATTGTTTGCACCCACTAAAGCAACCCTAGGAATCTTATACACAAATCTGTCCAAATTCAATTCTTTTACTAAATTTCTATTAATTAATGATATTTCCGATCCATAATCAATCAAAATTTTAATCGCTTTTATTTTTTATAAATGCATCTAAAAATATTAAATTTGAATTAGAGTTTTGTCTTTCGTTCCCCGCCAACTGTATAAACTCTCTTGGATGACAAAATATACCAGATACCTCCTTTTATGTTTATTTAGTAGATGCTTTCTTGAAAATCATGTCTGGGTTTATTGCATCCATCTTCTTCCTCTCGTTCTACGGATACATGGTTCATTTCTCTTCTGTTTTGTCTTTGGAAGCGTTGGTTGTTTCTCTCGTCCCTTTGTTCGTTAATATTCCTATTCGGATGATTTTGTGCAACTCTGTCCCTACTGTTCCTTTCATATGTTCTGTTTTGTGTGCCGTTTCTGTTATCGTAACTTTGTTGTCTATTTTAATTGTAATTAAATTTCTCGGCCTATATTTGTTGTTCTAAGATATCGGTTTCTTTGGTCATAATTTGCTTGGTATCTTCTTTCCGGTACATTATATTGGTCATTCTGTCTTCTATTTCTCATTTGCCTTCTTTTCGCCCCTTTTAACTGTTAAAATTGGCATATACTTTCAATATCTGGATAGTTTCTTAAGATCACGTGATCCTTCAAAGTTTCCTTAAACAGTTTGCTGATCATTTCTACCAGCTGTTCGGTATAATATTTGAATAGAGACATTTTAAATTATTGTGTATCTGTAATGCATATCTTTCTTCAGATATCCCCATTTCCTCAGTATCCTTTCCATTTTGTAGTTGTTGATTAATTTCCCTGTGTTTATTTTTCCCCTGTGTTGTATATTTTAAATAGTTAAGGAATTTGTTTTCGAAATCTGTTCAATTTTCAAATTCATCCTCTTTGCTTTCGTACCATAACGCTGCTCCTTCTTTCAGATGGTTCCTAATTGTTTGTTTGAAATCGTCAAAATATTCAATATGTTGCAATTTGGATTTTAAATTTTTAACAAATGGTACTGGTTGTGTCGTTCTAATGTCCCCGCCAAATTGTACTTTCGCCTCGCTTGTGCTATGGACGATAACTTCTTTTCTCTCTCCCCCTCTTTGTGTTGTTTTATTTCTGCAATATGTTTTTTATTTTGCTTTAATACCCTTTCTACTTCTTTCCTGTCTTCTTGTAGCGCCATTTTAAATTTTTCTTCTAACTGTTCTAATTCCTTTTTCTGGACAATCTTGATTTCCTTCATCTTGTTTTCTACTTTCTTTTCTTGTTCTCCAATTTTATTTTCAATTATATTAATCTCTTCTATCTGTTGTATCATTTCTCTTTTTATCTCCTCTACACATCCTTTAATTTTCTGTTCATAATTTTCCAAACGCTGTTCTATATTCCTGTTGTTTTCTTCTGTTTGCTTTGTTTCATCCATTTTTAGTAATGTTTCTTTTTGGTTTTTTTCTATTGTTTGTTTTGTCTCTTCAATTTTTTGTGACTGGAGTTGCATTTGTTGTAATATTTTATTAATTCCTACTGATTCTTTTCTCTCCTAAACTATTGTAACATTTCCTTCATTATCTGATCCTTCTTCAAAAATTGTTTCATCTTCTCTGTTATCCTCCTTCCTTTCCTGCATTTTGCTTTGTCTTCTTGTGACAGACATGCTGTTTCTTTTTGTTACTCTTTTTGTTCCCGCCAAATGTGAAATTTTATCACACTCTATATGTCGCATACAGAACACTTATCTTTCCCCAAATGTAATAAATATTCACGACAAATATCAAAAATACGAATAGTAAAATAATATTTAACATAGGTAATATTATCTTATTTAAGATATTATTATAATAATACATAAACAATATACTAATTAAAAAAGAATTTCATTTAAGAAAATTCTAAAATAATATCTCCCCAAACTGGGATCTAACTTCATCGGTGATTTGTAATTGCCAGCGCTTGCGTTCTAAGAAAACCGAACCTTACATTTAAGCTTTATAACAATCAAAAATTTAGTTATTGCCGACAATTCAAAGAATTACTTCCTTGAAATGTAGTTACATTGGGTTTTTCGATTAACCTTGGGTAAACCTTTGCGTTTTAAGTTCAAAGCTACCATACATTTCCAACGTTAAAAAAAAACTTTTTTGCACATAGTAACAAAAAACACCACTATGTTGTTACTAGCTAAGTTTTTTAACATCCTAACTCGACATTTCTAAATTTACGGTACAGATAAATGTTTTTTATTAGATAATATATGGTAGCTAATTATAATTTATTCTCTTTCAGCCCTGAAGAAGCCAAATTAATTCTCTTTGGCGAAAACGTTCGGCGAAATAATTGATACACATTAGAGTTTTTCTTGCAGATTTCCTATATTAAGAGTTTACTATTAACTTATCTGCAAAGATTAAATTTCTTTTATATATATATATATATATATAATATATATATATATATATATATATATATATATAATATATATATATATATATATATATATGCAATTAGAAGCTATCAGCATAATCTTACTATAGCTCTAAAGAATTAAAAGCCAAATATTATGGCGTTGGATCACACATTAGTCATGTGGTCGTAACCTTTCGCGTTTGAATTGGTATCAATAGAGCGATATAACTGTTAGTTCGGTGTAGTCAATTTCGATGTGATGTATATCAGACTATACCGAAATAACACTTATATTGCTATATTGATACTAATTCAAACGCGAAAGATTTGACAAAGTGCTTCAACGCCATACTACTTGGCTTCTAATTTATCAGAGCCAAAGCACGTTTTTGCTGTAAGCTTTTAATAATGGGAAGTCATTCGAACCCATATTGGAAAAAAGTCGAAGAAGATGAAGAAAACATTTTCAAACCCTTTTAGTTGAACGAACTATCTAATAAATTTCATTTTATACTAAAGAAGAGAATACGAAAATCCCAAGACCCAGTATAAATTTTTCATATAAAAGCAATATCAGAAATAAATAAAACAATATTATGTATTAAGCAGAACATATTGCGTCTTAAATCTATTTATTCTTTATATTGGTTTTTACAAGTATAATTGAAAACCTAATGACTGTTTATTTTATGAGATTATTTATACAATATTTTGTTAAGATACTAATATTTTCAGGTAGTAGATGGATGGGAATTGAAGGGAGGATTTTTTCCAAGCAGTCGAGACCATCAGAAACCGTTGAGAGCGCGATTTAACGAGTTTTGTGGAGAAAGGAAAATAAAGAAAGTTTTCACGAGTTCCCAAAATGTAGCACTGATACAATACAGGATGCCTGCCCGAGGGACTAGTTTCAGCTTTACCGTGAGATTTGTGAAGAACCCTACACGTAAGTTAAATTCGTGTTTTTCTTAAAAGAGAAAGCGCCTGAGATATTTTTTATTCATTAAAGATTGTATGTTTACAATTTTATACTGTACGTCTTTCTTAAACATTTTTCTTGAAGTATTTTGAATCACTTTTTGGCATTAGGAGTTTATGTATTCAAAAAAATTTGATAATTTTGTCATAAACATCTGAAATTATTCCTGTTTTTATTTTATATTATAATTGTATTTCTTATTTTATTCTCAATTATTTTCAATCTGTAATACTCTTCTTCTTCTTGTTGATGTACCTATCCGTTCTGAATGTTGGCGATCATCATGGCAATCTTTATCTTAGCTGCAGCAGCGCGGAAAAGCTGCACAGATATTGTATTGAACCAGATTCTGAGGTTCTTTAACCAAGATGTTCTTCTTCTTTCTTCCTGATCTCGTTTTCCAAATATTTTTCCTCGCATGATAGCTTGAAGGAGAGCATATCTGGATTCATTTCGCATAATAGGTCCGAAAAAACTTTCGAGATTTGATGATAGTCAGTACTTCTCGGTTTTTAGTCATTATTCTGAGGACCTCCTCATTTGTGACTCGGTCAGTCCAATGGATCTTAAGTATTCTCCGATATAGCTACATCTCAAACGCTTTCAGTTTTCTGCACATATATTTGTTTAAGGCCCACGATTCAACACTATAAAAAAGGACAGAGAAGACGTAGCATCTCAGCGTTCTTACTTTTGTATCAAAAGAGAGGTTGTAACGCTTAAAGAAGGAAACCCATCCGATTAAGGTAAATCTAGCTTTTCCGATAGTTGTTTGCCAATACTGTGGTGTCATCTGCATATCCCATGTTGTTCAGCCGGCAAATATTTAGTAGAATACCTTTTTCTGTTTCGTGCATAACTTCGATAAATGTTCTTTCAGAGTACAAATAAAAGACTAGAAGAGACAAAATACAGCCTTGCCTCACTCCGCGCATGATTTTCACATAGTCAGTGTGTCCACCTACAACTCTGAGATTTGCTTTCTGATTCAAGTAAAGATCTCTAATTATTTTCAGTTATTGGTTGTTAATCCCTGCTTCTTCTAGTATTTGCATCATCTTGGCGTGCTGTACTCGATTAAACGCTTTCTTGTAATCAACCAGACATGCGTATATGTCGCAGTTGACGTCTCTGCATCTCTGAAATAAGACTTGTATTCAGAACAAAGCCTCTCTAGTACCAACAGCATTTGTGAACTCCAACTGATTGGGAGAAAGTTGACTTTAACACAGCTTATAGATTCTCTTATGAATTATCTTTAGGAACAATTTTAGTAAATGACTCGTGAGGCTTATAGTACCCACAAGGAATCTACGTTCCTGTAGTTGGCTGTATACCATATATTAAAAAAAATTATAAAAATCCTTTGTGAAAGCATAATATTTGATATTTGCTTTCATAAAGTCCTCGTAGACACACCGTCTTAAGACTAGCAACTTCACGTGGAGTCATATGTCGCCATGTTACCAAATCTAACGGTAACTTTAACATCTTAACATTTTATAAGAAATAATGTAAACTAAATTTAACTAAATAATTTTTAACGGGTTTTTACCCACATATTTAGTGGCTACATTCATGTATACCTAGTAAGTATTAACCACATTTTGCATTAACCTTGGTCAAAATTTTATGTTCCTTTTTAATTAAGTGGTTATATACTTTTTAGGACACTGATGATGGAATATGGATTCCGAAAACGTTTTGTCTAACATAGCCCGATTGGGTTTTTAAATATATACCTTTTACAAAGGATTTTAATAAATTGTTTGCTTATAGTACGGTAATCTTCGCATTTTTTGGCTCCTGGTTTTTTTGGAAGTGCAATGAACTCAGATTTCAGCTATTCTGTTGGTATTTATCTAGAGTTGTATATGTTGTTAAATATCTTAGCGATTATTGCTATTGATTCGTTGTCCAGTAGTTTGAGTAGTTCTGCTTGTATATTATCAGGGCCTGCCGTTTTTTAATCCTTTAACTGTGTTATTGCGGAATAAACTTCCTGCTGTAATATTCTGGGTCCATCATTTAGCTCTTCTTCTATCTCAAAGGTGTTATCTCTTTGGTCTTTAAATAGTTTCTTCTAGATATTCTTTCCACGTTCTTATTTTACTCTGTTTGTCCAAGATTATGTTTCCGTCAGAATCAGTTATATTTCCTTTTTTCCTTCGTCTTAGTCACCCTGTGAGTTCTTTAGCTTGCCTATGCACATTGCGACTGTCGTACTTGGACTGCAGTGTCTCAATTACTTTGCATCTATTCCTTGCAGGTTTTTCTTTCGCTTCTCTGATTTTTGTTCTTATTAATATATTTATGGTTTTATATTTGTCTGTCATTTTTGGCTTCTCGTCTTTCGTCCATTAGTTTCGGGATTTTATCTGTCATCCATTAGTTTTTCCTTCATTAATCTATCTGTCTTTAAGTGTTAATTATTTACATTTTGCACTATTTTTATAATATCGCACACCAGCATTAAAAGTGTAGCAACTAAAAAATGTGAGTATTTGAGTTAGGATCATATTTGAATTCCTCGAATAATTACCTATACACCAATAAAACTGCAGTAATTGTATTCTCCCTAGTGTGTCACAGGTGACGTTGTAAGTCGGTTTTGCTGAATGATCACTCGTTCACCCTCATTATAAACCGCGCTATTTTTAGTTACGCTCTGACTTTCGTGCAGAGTGTACGGTTTCACAGTGTGGCATTTTGAGTTTCAACGGTTTTGGTGAGTAAACTTGATAAAACTACTATAATTATTTAGATTTAATACTATTTAGCTGATGTACTCAGATATTTTTACAGCAGCATTTTGAATTGTAGTAGTTTTGTTGCTTAAATTTTAATTTGTTTAAAGTTTATTTAGTTTTGCTACAGTTTTAATGAACTTTTTTTTGAATTTAGGGTTAAATCGGTTTTCATGGTGAATTTGTTTTGTACGTTAATTTAGTTAGTTGATATTTGGGATAATTTTGAATATTTTATGTTAACTATAAGAGATTTATTTTTATTTTATAGATTTTGGAATATTAAATTTTTATTTCAAATTAATAAAAAGATATTTTTGAGTTGGTTCACTTTTGACGGTTTAGTTTATTTATCGTTATTGTTTCAGTATAATGCCGAGCCGCGGCCGTTTATTTGTTGACATGGCTTTACAAAAGCATGAAAATAAGAACAATACTAAATATTCTTCCAACATTTCATCAGTTCAAAGTATTCCTTTGCATGACACCACAAATTCTTTAGAATTTAATTCAAAAGAATCTAATCAATATAGTCTTCAACATGTTAAGTCTTCTTTTATGCCTGGAAATGACAATTTACTATCCGAGAATAGCATATACTTAAATGAAACTCCAACCATTTCCAACGAAAATACCTATAATCATTTATGTCTACCAAGTACTTCTAATATTGTTAATATGGGACAGAGAAAAAATTATTACATATCTCCCATTTGAAGTAACGAAAGCGATATAGATGATTCCGATTCTGATCCAAATTTTGATGTCTCTCCAGACAAACTATTCTCAGACAGATTAATTCCTACAACTAATAATTCTTCATCCAGCAGCAGCAGCAGTTCTTCGACTAGTTCTGACAGCTCGGACCGTGCATCTGAGTCTACAGTTTCGAATATTGGAGGTAATGGAGAAAAGAAAGTAAAAAAAAAGAGTCCGAAAACCTGAGAATTGGAAGACGAATGTAGCAAAACAGTTACAAAACTCAGTTAAGGCATACGTTTCTATGTTTAAGTCAAAAAAAGAAATTTCAGGAAGAATGGGTAGGGAAGACTGTGGTGAATTATGTCGTTTGAGATGTGATAATAATATTAATATCGAAGATAGGCAACGCATTTTTAATAATTATTGGGAAATGGCTGATCTTCAACATCAAAGAGATTACATCTTACGACACATAGATGAAATCAAACCTAAGTACAGATATTCTAGCACCCAAAATTTAAGAGCACTAAATAAGGCATATTTTTTTGAAGTGAACGGTACTCGTATAGGGGTTTGCAAAAAAAATTTTAAAGCTACACTTGATTGTAGCTGTAATTGTCACTGAAAATTATTGAACATTTTTATGGACAAACCTAAAAAAATCGGTCAAATAGTACAAAAAATTTAAAACAAAAACAAATATAATAAAAAACAGAACAATACAATTTTAAATTAGTAAAATTATTGTATAACTTACATAATTTGTACAGACAACAACAAATGAAACAAATTGTAGCCACTGCTGGAGACACCCAAATGTAATTATAAACAATACTAATTTTGTTTCTTTGTTATACATTAAGAAACTTGTCAACTGAATAATATGATCTTTCAGACACATAGGTTTTTGTCGTCTTACGAAACTTAATGAAAGATGTTGCGGATTAAATTTCTCTTGGAAGGTGATTATATAGTTTTTTTGCACTATATAGAATAGAATTCTTTACTAGCTGAGTGAACAGGATCGGTAAATAAACGTTACAATCCGAATTTCTAATGCTTTCATCTAATGATATCATGTCATTAATAAAAAGTAAAAAAAGAATGGGACCTAATACTGAACCTTGCGATACTCCACACTCAATATCTTTACAACTAGAGTTGGTGTCGTTTATTCTATTTAATTGTTTCTTACCTATCAAGTAAGTTTTGAACCAATTCAAAGACACACCCCGAATTTCATAGAAAGTTAATTTTTTTAATAGAATGTCATGATTTACGCAGTCAAAGACTTTGGAATAGTCACAGAAAACGGTGGCGGAGGAGAGGTTACTATTTAGTGAAATATATACCTCATGTAACACAGAAAACATGGCATCACTAGTACATTTATTAGACAAAAAGCCGAACTGATTTTGCTATAAAATATTATGTTTAAGGAGAAAGGGCATAAGTCGAACTTTTATAAGCCTTTCAAGCCTTAACAGATGTAAAGCTGTTTTGGAATCTTTTATTTAC